GGAGGGTCGGGGCACTTAGTAAGTAGGTAAGAAGTAGAGTCAAGGATCTAAGAGGGCTTATTTAAGGAATTATAATCCCCTACCCCCCCCTACTCCCCCAGAGGGGGAACCACAGGAGCCAAGGCGCCGCGGTGATGTCATCTGAAAGCTGGCCTCGAAACGTCTTTCAAAGAGAAGTTGTATTACCTGAGACTATATCATAGTATGGTATGTTATAGCATAGTTTATCGTACATAGTATATGGTATGTTATAGTATAAATAGTATATAGTGTATAATATGTAGTATATACTATAGTCTACAGTATAGAATAAAGTATATAGCATATACCATGTAGCATGTACTATAGCACAAAGTATGGTAGAAAGCATATAGTATATACTATGATAGTATATAAGATATAGTATACAGTATGTAGTATACAGTCTATAGTATACACTGTAGTACAGTGTAGTATAGTGCCGTATATTATAGTATCGTCGCAAGTTGGCAACTCCAAGATTGGTGTGCCGTGCTCGCGTGCCACTCAGAGGAGCGGGCCTTGCGTCTCCGCGTGCCAGCGCTGCCTCGCAATGCTGGCGATCTCGCGCGCGGCTGCGTTGGGATCTGTGTGTCGCGCGGCGATGTCCACAGCCTCGGAGAGATAAACGGGACAGACGGCGGCCGGTCGAAAACTCTCAAAAGCATGGAGGGCAAAATGACAAGTGCAAAGCCGTGCCTCCTGTGAGTTCAGCCGATCCCAGACGCCATCACTACCCAGAATGAGGACCTTGTCTTTGGAGGACAGCATCCTCTCGGAGACCTGGCACACTGTCATCCCTGCATAACCCGTATATATAGTAGCAGCAACCCAGGCAGGAAGGAACGGCCCAAAACCTTATAACCGAAGCTCTAGCCTAAACCCCTAAACCCTAAACCCAAGACCCCAAAACCCTAAACCCCAAAACCATAAATCCCCAAACCCTAAAACCTTAAACTCAAAACCTTAAAACCCGCAAGCTTCAAGCCGCAGCTCTGGCCTAAACCATAGGTCCGATCCTGGCCTCTGGCTCGGCAATCACGAACGGATGCATCGATAAATCTCCTGTGCACAGCATCTGAAGAGTGGGGTTTAGGGTTTAGGGTTGAGTAGAGGGGTTTTGGGGTTTAGGGTCGAGAAGAGTGGAGTTTAGGGTTTAGGGTTGCATAGAGGGGTTTAGTGTTTAGGGTGTTTAGGGTTGAGTAGAGGGGTTTAGGGTTTAGGGTTGAGTAGAGTCTGAGGAGGAGTAGAGAAGAATAGGAAGAGAGTAATCAGAGAGTAGAGTAGAGTTGAGACAGAGTCGAGGAGACTAGAGTCGAGTATGGTATAGCAGGAAAAGCATCTTAGCCCTAAAGCCCTAAACCCCAAATCCCAGACTTCCTGAACCTTGTGGACTTGGCTCCTACTTGGAGGTTCATGGGTAGTAATAAGTGGGGTTATAAGTAGGGTAACTATAGTTATAACCCATACTTGGGGACTTATAACCCCACCTATAACTACCCATGAACCTCCAAGTACTGCAGCTAACGGTCAAAGAAACACTTCGGGAGAGCACAAAGCTGAACGGCAAGATAGCAAGCAGGCAAGCGGAAGATTCCGCATCCCATGGGCTGGGCCATGCCTTTTTGCCGGTCGGCTGCTTGGACGCCCCTTCTGCAAGACTTTCCGAGAACATATCAAACTCATCCCGACATGTCTGGGAACTCAGCTCGCCAAGAATTGCTTGGAGACCGCTTTGCAGACTACAGGCTGCTGGCCCAGGCAATCCTCGCCTCCCACCTGCCTTGTCCTTCGCCTCACGGACAGCTTGACCGAAGGGGCAACCGAAAAGGCCATCTCGGAAGACGCACTCAGCCAGAACCAGATGACTTGCCGGAGCAAGTGGCACCTGAATGCCAGTTTCATCGCTCAGGGCTAGATCAAGATGAGACTCGGGCAGCGAGCTGTTTGTCACCGCAATGACCACGCCAACCATGCTTCGAATCTGATGGTACAGGAAGTCACGACCTGTAATCCGCAATACCGCGAAGGCCTTGTCTTCAAGGTAGTCGCGGTAGCCAGCGGTCACACCAGCCCTACAGCGATAGACACTGCGGACGCTTCTTGGGTCCGCCTTCGCATCTTCGAAGCCAGGGCTAAAGTTATGGAAGGATCGAGTTCCGGTCAGCTTCTTCAAGGCTGACCGGAGGCGCCTGTGCACGGACTGCCATGCTTCCAGCAGGGACTCAGGTAGCGCCAGCAATGGGGCTCGATGTCCCTGCGCATCCTGTGGGCCGGGGAAGCCGTCCAGTGCTGCACAAGCGGCCAAGGCGCATGAGGAATCCGAGAACTTCAGCTTCGCCGAGCCATCCTTCCTTGAGAAGACCACGTCCTCAAGCACCACTGCCAGCTTGTGCCTTGCAGACACTTCCTGGATCGTCCAGGTGAGGTCTTCTTTGGTGGCCTCCGTGGGCAAGCCTGAGACCCAGATCCAGGATGCCAAAGCATCCTCTCCTGGGAACGCCCCGGCGTTGGACCACAGCAGCTTCATCCTCTCTTGCTCCCTGCGCGTGAAGAGCGCGCGGTAGGGAACGTAGTACCAGTACTCCCGCTTCTGGCAGGCAAATCTTGCATTGAATTGCGGGTCATCGACATCAAACACATGCGCTGCTGTAAGCTCCGGCGGCAGTTCAGATCTAAGCAATTCCAGAAAGCTTGAGGTGTTGTCAGGATTCATCGTGTTTTCGGAGCTGCTGCACAGTTCTTTCGTGATTCTCAAGCACAGTGCCGTAGACAGAGCATGGACACCCCGATCTGTCCGCGATGCTCTTGAAGCAACCTCCACTGTAACCGATGTTACATCTGGCTGCTTTCGCAAAGCCGCCTCGATGCAGGGTAAGAGGCAGCCTTCGACAGTTGGGAACTTCGCCTCGCTTTGGACCGAGTTGAGCTGGCTGCCGTGGAATCGCGTCCCAACATAACCATAGAGCAATAGGGAGCGGGAGGCGTGCCGCCTGGTGCCACCACCACAGCCATGCTGACGCAGGTGCCGAAACAGTGCATTCCGTGTAGCGAACTTCTCACCGCAGCCGGTGCAGGTCGAGTCGCTTCGGCACAAGCTGAGATGCGCGTAGCCTTGGAGCGCTCTGCTCAGATCATCAGAAATCATCTCAACACGCGTCTCGCAAGAGCCCCCGTGGCGACACCTATCCACACAAAGGGGAACGCCGACGTCTGAGCTCTGGAAAGGCTGCCGTGTTCAGGCATGTTGCGCAACACCTCTTGCAGGTCACAGACGACACCTGAACCCGAACTCAAACCCGAAACCCCACACCCCCTCCTGTAAACCTCAAGTTCTCAAGAGCACCTCAGCATCAAATCAAAGTGATGCAGCACCCGGTCCTAGCGAGCGAGTGACGCAAAGCCCACAACGTCCGGTCTTGTCCCAGACTCGCTCGGGACCAACACGGACCAGCACCGGAGGACCGAAACCTCGCACAGGACATGCACACCTGCGAAAGCCTACTATTATTCTTGTGCAGGCACTTGTCTTGCTTAGCCCAGCCCATAGCTTAAGGACAAACCGACACCTCAAGCCTTGCCAACCGCTGCGCCCCACCTCGCTGTCAATACAGAAAAGGAGCAATGAACCACTACATGCAGGCACCTTGTCGCATCGGCATGGCGCTTGGATGGACTGCACCACCCTGCGAATGGATGACAGATCTACCAGGGTCAAAGCCGTGGCGCGTGATGCGATGCTGGACTGACAACCCAATGCTGCAATGTCCTGCTGGGACCCCTAAACCCTAAACCCCAAAACCCGGACTGAGGGGGTCTAAGTAAGCGGTAAGCATTCGATCAAGCGCCGTTCAAGGCCCCGTAGTGAGCCTCTCTGCCCAAATCTAAATTCCTGGAAACCCCCAAACCCTGCAGTCCTGCTGGAGAATCCGGTTCCGTTCGTCTTCCCGCATTGGCCGCTGATCACTGGACAGATCAACGGCCCGCAGGCTGTGCAGAGAGCCATCGCCCTGCAACAAACAGTATAGCATAGTATAGCAACGTATCGAATGGCATAAGTATAGTACATAGTATGGTCTATCGAGTTCCAGCTATATTCTGCGTAGCATAATCATCTTGCAAAGTATTGAATACTTTAGCAATGCAGAGCAGAGCATAGTGCAGAATGGCATAGTGTAGTGTAGCGTGGGTGTAGCGTCGTGTAGCGTGGTTTAGCATGGCAGCGAATAGCAAGGGGCAGTAGTACATGACCGTATCGGATAGTACAGCAGAGCACCAGTCATAGAGTTTCATGGTATACCTTCCGTGAAATCGTACAAGGAATTAGCAGTCCGAAGAGAATTGCTCAAGTCATTACCAACTCCGAAAAAGACGAAGTTGTTGCATGACTTCCTGTCGAAACAGTGAAGACGCATTCGGTGGAAATAGTTGGAATGACAGGACGACAGAAAAAATTTTCTGAAGACATACAATATAAGTTCGTTTGGACTCTCTCTCACCGGGTTACATACACACATAGCCATAACCAAGTAAATGCCCGTACACACACAGGTGTAGGCAAGTACAGACTCTCTTTGACTGGCATGCACCCTCAACGCTAAACCCAATGACTGCTCATGATCAACCCGCGCATCTCCTCCCGCGAGCTGCATCGTCCCAGGACTGCCCGCGAGTCACCAACCTATAGTGAACTTGGTACCCTAGCAAAAATGCTATTGTTTGCTTTTTCTTTGGGACTATAATACTATAATAACTGAAAAACATAATCTTAGCTCCCTTAAAGCTTCAATTAACCAGAAACTAAAGACTATTTCCGAGTGCCCCTAAGCAACGTTGGCCACCACGAGTTTGTCACGGTGGCGGTAGCAAGTCACGGCCTCGGGTGGCTCACCGACCAGGTGAGGTGAATGTAAGCCAAGATTCGGGAGGGTTTAGGGTTTCGGGGTTGAGGGGTTTAGGGTTCAGGGTTTAGGGAATTAGGAGTTTAAGCGTTTACGGCTTCCAGTTTCCTGCTCTGCAGAGAATGAGGCCCTGACTGTGGTGCCGGAGCGCTGCGCATCGATGGCATGGCTGCGCTCGATCCCTTCGGTCTTTTTGAGAAAGACGGAACCCTAAACCCAAAACCCCAAGTTGAACTAGTAACTATGATCATCTGTGCTCCCTCAATCCCACCGGCCTTTCTGAGTTTCTGCGTACGCACTTTGCAGTGCCGATGCAGGCTTCGTGTAGAGATCCTGGAAGAAAGACCAGGTGATGCCGAATACACAGCGAGTCAGAGCATGACGAGCACGGCCCTGATACAATACTGTGTGGATGCATATACTTATGTACATATATATATATATGTATGTATGTATGTATGTATGTATGTATGTATGTATGTATGTATGTATGTGCGTGTGTGTCTGTCTGTCTGTCTGTCTGTCTGTCCGTCTGTCTGTGTCTGCTGTATGTATATATGTATGTTTGTATGTATGTATGTATGAATGTATGCAGTTATTTCATCTTCTAAGTATACAAAAGTATATATATATACATGTATATTTTTCGAAATATTTTTATTTACTTATTTATCTCTCTACACATATATATATATATACTTCTGCATATGAACAATACCATGTATACATGTGAGTATATATGTAAATACATACGTACAAACATATATGCATACGTACATACATACATACATACATACATACATACATACGTTCATTGCATTGCACATGCATACATATGGATAAACACAGCAAGGAGTTTCGACGACTCATGCTATCCCCGTCCGGCCCAGCCCCCCAGCCCGCCCTCCCTCGCCGCCTTCCCTCCTTCCCTCCCTCCTTCCAGACCTTCCCTGTCTGCCCATGTCTGTCCACCTACCCATGCCTGCCTGTCCCTGAGTGTGTGTGTGTGTGTGTGTGTGTGGGTGTGTGTGTGTGTGCGCGTGTGTGTGTGTGTGTGCCTATGCACGCCTGCATGCTTTTGTGTGGTCACTTATGCAACATATCCTCCAAAACAGGGCGTGCTAAGCTATGTAGGAATGAGGCTCCCATCTGCCGCTCCCGACTCAAAACGTGCCCCGGCCTTGCTGTCGTAGAGACTCCTAGCCAGCTGCGACCGCGCATACTCGGAGACACGCTTGCCTGGAGCGCCGAAGACACAGACAAGCAGGGGCGATGCGATCGTAGAGCGGATATCAGACCATAGCCTAGAGATGCATATGTAGCTTTTTGTTGTTCTTACCATCATTGTTACGAGCGATATTATGATATTATTATCAGCTCTTCTTCCCCTCCCGTCCAGCCTTGTTCCCCGTGACCATCCAGGACTGCTAGTAAGCTCTTGCTGCCACTCTCTGCCGCAATCCAGCTGTCCTTTAGGGGCTTAGGGTTTAAAACGGTTTAGGGGTTTAGCATTGCTGGAATTTGGGGAGGAACCTTTGCCGCTCCACCCTGCCCAGAGCCATTCCCAAGGCCAGCCCGTAACAGGGTTGTCCCCAAGTTGCGGACAAGACTTGATGCAACATCCCTATGCCTATGCCTATGCCTTTTCCGCCCGCTCCTGATTTTCACCATTCTTGCCCTGGTTCTGGAAAGAGCATGCCTCCGGGTGCTTGTCTCGTCGGCACGTCTACCGTGCTCACCAAAAAGCTCGGCCGCTGACACCGACGAAAGACCTGGGCCCTTCTGCTGCGCCGGTGGACCTTTCCCAAACTTCATGGGCCATGTCGCAAGACTGAACCGGTTGAGGGTGTCGGTATCAAAAAGATTATATAGTATACAGTATGTAGTTTAGGAGCTTGAAACCATTCTCCGGCCCAGCCTCAAGTGTCAGGTCGCATGTCTCAGCTCTTCACTTCAATTCTGCTTCCTTAAGGGTCCCCCCGCATCCCTTAAAGAGTACGCTAAGGGTATCCGTTCAAGACTTCCAGCCTGTGAGTCAGCGGCGTGGGCGGTGGCAAGAGCTCATCGAGCTCATGCACAGCAACACCGCCGAACGTCCTGACAAAGGATGTAGGAGTGAAGAGCCCCCGGGTTTAGGGTTTAGGATGAAGGTTCCTGCATTCTGCTGATTCCTGCTGCAATGCTTCCGACACGACCACAGGACCTTATCATTCTCCCAACCATGCTTTCCACCAATGACGAGACAACGCCAAGCACCTGCCGCTTCGGTGCTGGCTCGATGACGGTAAGTTCAGGAGAAGCAAGACCGAGAACGAGCAACTTACACATCGTCTCCTGCCCATGCCACCGCGCCCTGCGAACCGCATGGCTCACCGGCTGCTTAGACCAGGAAGAACCGGCTATGTTGGGCTGGATGCTTGTCCCATGCCAACCGATGCTTTGGACGTCAACTTAACCGAAGAGCCCTGACTGTCATGGTTGGCTTCTGCTGGCATCCGAGAGTTGTCCTGCGTACTAACCTCGTCCCTTCCTCACGCAATGTCATGAGCCGACCGAACACTGCGGTGAAATAATAGTAGTAATAATTGTAATAATCGTAATAATAGCAACAGTAGTAAGAATGGTCATGAATGAACACATCCGGTTCCCAGCTGCTTTAGTCATTAGTCCTTGCTGCCATAAACTACCGGCATAAAGGTGCTCCTCCAGGTGCTATATCATATGTCCAATACAGCAATTCCTGGCACGGACCACAAAGCGTCAACACCGCAGGGCCCACATGTACTTCACACCCTTTGGGTCGAAACCAGGAGGCAGCAACAGCTGCACGTGCCAAGTATCTGGCGCGGGTCGGGAACAGGCTTGTTTAGGGCCAGGGCACTTGGGTCTTTAGCAAGGATGTTATAAGGGATCTATAATGGCTCTGCAAGACTCCAAGCAGATATGCAGGGCACCTCCACTTCTATTCGTCTGGGAGTCAAGCCTCAAAGGCAGCCGCGGCAGTGGTTTCTTTTTCCGGAATTCACGGGGGATTGTTTTGCTTATGCCCTGTTGCACCTTTTGCCTCACAAATCGGTGAGCTTGGGTTTAGCATTTAGGGTTTAGGGTGTTTGGGGTAATAAATGTCTCCTGAACCCAGTTTTCCATCTTCCGGAAGGCCGTGCGAGAGTGCTGTTTTGAATGCTTTTATGCTGGCAGGCCTCACTTCCTTTGCCCGAGATGTAGATTTCGTGAGCATAGCTGGCTCTGGTCTCGTCACTGACATTCGACATTTCTCGGCCAAGCTACATATGATGTTTCTATGCCTTTTGGGGCTCGACGGGCTCTGGACCTTCTGTGCATCGGGTCAGACGGTAGTGATCGAAGAGCTTGTTGATGCAGCCTTGTCAGCACGATGCAGGATGTCCGCAGAGACTGAGCAACGGACTGCAAGTAAAACTCGCCACAAGTGCCCAGAATGGAAGCACCTGCACGATTTTGTTCATTGCAGCCGATGCCTCCGAAACGGAACATGCTCGGCGCACCTTCGTGGCCCTCGGGCAGGACGAGGTAAAGCCACACTGATCTTCGTCCGGGCCTCTGCGAAGCAAGACCTACTGAACAGAGCCCTCAGACTACCCTCGAAGGAACCCTAACCCCGCAAAGCCACTACAACCCTTATAGCAGCATTTTGGGTAGTTCTCTAAATTAGGGTCCCCTGTTAGGTCCCCAAGATAGTACCGCACCCTTATACAAAGGACCCTAGAAGGGACCCTACGGTTGATGACATAAATCCTGCATTACCCCATAAGAAGGAATATACCATAGTTCCCATAGTTCAGGATCCTTCAGGCAATGCAGGATTTATATCATCAACCCCTAAACCCTAAACCCTCTAAAACCTACACCCTACACCCTAAACCCTAAACCCTAGAAGGGACCCCAGTTTAGAGAACGACCCCACTTAAAGGAGCCTGTTGCAAGGAAGCAGGGAGACCTGGGCCCCCCGAGTCTCGGGCGCATCCAACGTGAAGTTCACCGAGCCGCCAAGGGGCGCCTCGTTTTTGGGGTTTTGGTAGGGTTTTCGGGTTTCGGGTTTGGGGCTTTCGGGTTTGGGGTTTATGGGTTTAGGGGTTTAGGGTTTATGGGTTTTGGGGTGTGGAGTTTAGGGGTTTAGGGTTTATGGGTTTATGGGTTTAGGGTTTATGGGTTTAGATTTTATGGGTTTAGGGGTTTGGGGTTTGGGGGTTTGGGGTTCCTCTCCCCGGGCCTCGCTGCATCCTTTGGGCTTCGGTGTCCCCGGCGCCGGCTCCACACCTCAAGACTCAAAAGATCAGAGTGGATTAGAGTACATGTACATTCTACTTGGAGGTTCATGGGTTTGTTATAAGTGGGGTGATAAGTAAGTAGGCTAACTATAGTATTTTAACCCAAATTAGGGGACTTATAACCCCACTTAAAACTACCCATGAACCTCCGAGTAGTACACCCTCAGTAGGCGGCCTGGAATCTTTCCAGGAGACTGTCCCATTCTGGGCCTCGGTATTGGGAAAGACAAGATCCTTGCTTTTCAATGCCGCCGGATTCCCAAAAGCAAAAGGGTGGCTGTCAAAACTATGGTCCCTGTTTGGCTCCTTGATATACTACCGGCGCCTGAGATTGAGGGTACCCAAAAAGGGACCATCATTGTGACAACCACCCATTAAAAGAACCCTGAACCCCCTTTTCCGGCCTCTGGAGGAGCAGCAGAGTCTGCCGGATGCTACAAAAGGGAGTTCCACTAAAAATAAAAGAGCCTCTCTGTGCTAGATACGTGCATATGAGGATCCGTACTGCAACCCTGATTTCAAGAAATTTCCGGCTACAACGGAACCCGAGTGTGAAGCAGGGTCACAGGTGGTGTGGATGGTGCATAAACCTCGGGACATCCCTTCTTCTAGACTTCTAGGGGTCTGGACACCTCATGGCTCGATGATCATCAGCATTGGCCAATGCTGCGCAGCGGGCAAGTGACTGTTGAAGCATGAACAAGCACATTGCATCCATGTTCACGCACTCGATGCCGTGGCCTTCCCAAACCACGTCCAGACGGACCCAATGCATACAAGCTGTACGAGAAACAACTGCGCCGCACCCCATGCGCGGCTGGGCAATGGCTCCCTGCCTGAGCCTCGATTGTTTGTACTATCTCCGCCTGGCGAAAAGGATCGCCCTGCTCACACACACACACACACAGAGAGACAGAGACATACACCTAACAACAACGCACTTTCAGACACTGTACTCGCAGGGGCAACATGTCAAACACACGCCCAAGGCCTGCACGTCCGGGCTGCCACCCGTGACACTCGTGCCACCCTCCCCTGGCAAACGTTCCACTCGTCAACTGCATCCTCTTTAGGCACACGCTCGAGCTACGGTTACAGCTGATGACATAAATCCTGCGTTACCCATAATAAGGAATATACCATAATTTCCATAGTTTAGGATCCTTAAGGTAATGCAGGATTTATATCATCAGCCGTATGAAAACAGTGAGCAGCCGACCTACCACGGCTGGAAAGGAGGACATGCTGACCTCACACTGGACAGCTGAACATGGGTGGTTCTCTAAATCAGGGCCCCCTTCTTAGGTCCCCCAAATGGTACGGCACCCTTGTGAAAGAACTCTAGAAGGGACCGTAATTTAGAGAACCACCCAAATTATTGAACTCTTGTTAGAACAGGGTAGGGTCTAGGGTTTAGGGGCTTCACTGGGCACCGCACCCCGCACAGCCGCGCCGAACCGATCGACTGCGCTCTGACTTGAGCCAGGCTTGCGACGGTTGAGAGTTTAGGGGTTTGGGGTCTAGGGGTTTCGGGGTCCAGGTTTGTTCTTTTAAGGGTTTAGGGTTTAGGAGTTTAGGGTCTAGGGGTTTAGATTTGGTTTCTTAAGGGTTTGGGGTTTAGGGGCTTAGGGTCTAGGGTTTCGGGCAGGGAGCTTGCGAAGACGCAAGTCGACACGGCACAGGCCAGATGCTGCAGGGGAGCTTAATTCTACAACTGCCGGAAGCTCGACCGTAGCTAGCATTCCCATGAAGAGACAATACATAGATGTAGATACTTGATTACAACGTATACAGTATACATCTGGATGTATGCATGCATGCATACATACATACACACACACACATGTATAGATGTACACACCCACCCACCTAGATTCCTAGATAGATGGATAGATAGATAGATGGATAGATGGATAAATAGATAGACAGTTACTTATTCAGCTCTCGGTGCATTCCTTACTTCCTTCATTGTAGCAAATGCCTCGCCGTTCGAAGAGCCAATGGGGCATTCATTCCGTCCTACATAAACATTCATGCCTTCCGTTCCTTCATGCCCTCCTTCCTTCCTTCCATCCTTCATTCGTCCTTTGACCCATTCGTTCATTCATTCATTCATTCATTCGTTCGTATGCTTTCAAGTAACCAGATAGTTACATACTCAATCAACATGAACTGATTACTCACACGGTTTATCATTCCCCAAACAGCGAAGTATTG